TCGATCACGAGATATAAAACTTCCAATGTTCCAAAAAAAAAAAAAAAAAAAAGCAAAGGGAAACAAGCAAAACACCAACCAACGATGAAATATTCTAACGCGAGCTCGTTAACGTGTTAATCGAACGTGGCCAGCCCCTCTTTATCTCCTCTCCTTTCAAAGAAAAGAAATTATCTTATAACGTGTACGAGAGGGGAAAAGAGGGAAAGGGAAAAAAAGGAGGAATCGTACGACATGTGACGCAACACAACGAGCGTTGCTGGAGCTGGTTTTGACAAATGACAAAGAAACTGTGGGGGAGAGGTGCGCACATGTCCGCATCTCGAGCAACTCGGCAGAGGGTCTAGTACCCCTCTCTCGCGCATGCAAATTGTGTGTCAGGAGGATCGTAAAAATCCGGGAGCGCATAGGGTGATCCAAGGGATTTTTTTCGGTGAATTTTCACACGGAGGGAGGTCCTCCGACCCGACCGTTCAATTAAGTTTCAACGCCGGAACGGAAACACGTGAACCTACTTTACGCTTTTAAAATCGTGCCTTATTCGGCGGAAAAGCGGCTGGGAAAACCGCTTTCCATGCTTTCGATTAATTGAAACTCTATCGGGCCGGCGTTCTTTCATCGCTTTCGAAAATTGCTTCGTGGATTTTTGTGTATCTGGAGCTGGAATTTTGTTTTTTTTTTTTTATTTTTTTTGAAAGAGAGAGAGAGAGAGAGATTTAAACGAGGAAGCGGAGGGATATTTTTTTGAAGTGTTTCTGGAACATGGTAAAATTTTGAACATTTAAATACTTCGTGGTTATACAATTATTTTGTACGAAGCTGGAATTTTTTTTTTGGGAAGGAAACATGAAATATCGTAAATGTGAGAAAATTTTATAATGTTGGATTAGATAGGGATTAAGGTTATTTTATTTATCGCATATGGATCTTTAAAAATAGAATCGAAGAGAGTGTTTCAATAATGGCGGAACAAGCACGATATTTATATTTCGTCGATTCATATTTATATGACGAAGAGTATACGAACACGTGTTGCGTATTTAATTTGTAAACTATAGAAAAAGTTTTCAGGATCTGGTTACCATTAAGATGGAACGCAATATTATGATAATCCTCTGTTTATTTTTCGTACAGAAGAGTACGAGTTCAAAAGAAATTTCCTTTCAAATGTGAAGCATGGAATAAAGAAACGCGTCTATCGTTAGATAAATACAATGGGACGAATGTTCCTCGTGACTCATCAAAATATCCCATTATCTCGCTCAACATTCGAATATTTCTCAACTTGTACACCGATTGATACAATCTCTTGGAAAAAAAAAAAAAAAAAAAAAGAACTCTTCTAATTCCGACGTAACAAATTAACGAGAAAGCACGTTATACATTTACGCACGAGGTTATCTTTTTATTTCGATGAACCGTAACCGTATATCGCATATACACGCGTATAATAAAAAAGCTACTCAGCGGTGGCAATGCGACAAAGGCCGAAAAAAGAGGCGAAAGAAGCGGGCAAAAACGGCGCGCGGCCTCGTAATTATGTCACAAATGTACGAGGCGGGCGTATATGGCGTAATACCAGGATAAGCGTAGTAATGAGTCTGATAAAAATGCGTGGAGCGTTTATTTTTAGAATTTTTACGATTCTTTGTCGCTCAAACCTTGTAATAAAAAAAAAAAGAAGAAAAAAAAAAAAAGAACTATATCGAAAACTATCCGTATCCGTAAACGATTTATCCTTAACGAAAAGAAACGAAGTTTAATAATTGGATAAATTCTACAATAATAATATCGATCTATCGATTTCATTCTATCGCGATAATTAACGACGACAGTGATCATGACTGTACACTTTTTAACATATTATATATACGTATACAGTCCGAATAATCCTTTCCTTAGTGCGTTCGAAGGAAGAAAAAATACGAAGAGAATAAATATAATATGTTTATTCCACTAACCACGTGCTCCTGATGGCCGTCATTCCCGCTGAAGATCGGCCGGGACCACGGCTTGGAAACCGGAAAACCCCTCTCGACACTGGTGTATGGAGCCGAAGGAACGACAACGCGCACCACCTCCACGGACGGGAGTCGGCCACTGACTGAACGTGACTCTGATTCTCTGGAACCGGGAGGAGGCTGCGTCGACCGGTCAGGGACCACGAGCCTGCGGCCTTCTGACACTCGAGTCACCGTCAATTTCTCTCCCCCTTCCTTCTTTCTCTTGCCTCTCTTTCTCTTTCTCTTTCTCTTTCATTGGCTGCTGCGTTTCGTTCATCGTGTTTTCTTCCTTCTTTTCTTTTCTTTTCTTCAAATCGTTATATCTATGCATCGTAGGAACTCTCGTATCGGACCAAGATCTATCGATATTGGATTAATAAAAGGTGTACAGAGATTTTCGTTCGTTCCAAGTTTGAAATACGATGAAACGAAGATGGTCTTTTTTTTTATCGATGTGATGTTCTTTAGCGTCTTTTAGATTCTTTAGATTTTCTTGCTTATTTTTATCAATATCAAACGTTTCTTCGAAGCGTGATGGCAATTTGATTGGAATTAAATTCGATTTGGATCGTTTGGATGGTATTTTTTTACGAGATTGAACGATATGATGATATAAGTTTTTCGAGATATTTTTGATTTGTGCGTGCAGAATGCATCGGTGTTTTAGTTTGAGGATCTTGTTAGTTCGTTTTTGCTAATCGTTTGCTAAATATATTCATTCAAATGGAAGGGAAACGAGCGGTTCTAACAGTCCACGGATACCACGAAAAATGCTTTATTTACATAAAAAACGGATAAAAAACTGTTGCAGTCGGAAAATTTTTTTTTTATTAACATAGAAACGATATTATCGGTAAACAAAGTTGAACGTTTATTTAGAAAATTATTTAAAATATTTAGAAAAACAATCCTATCCAAAAAAGAATATTTTACGCATCACTAATTATCATATTATTAAAAAATTTGCTTAGTTTCCATGAACAAAAAATTCCAGTATAATTAAATAAACTATCAATCGTGAACAAATGTTCAAATCAATCGAAGAATCTTATCGAAGAATCATTAAATTTATTTATATCGTATATTATAATCTATTCTACAATTAGTTAACCTTATCTAATTCCCAAGAAGAATCCACTCCACTTCGATGGACATACTTCGATACGCGAAGCTTCATCAAAAATTCCTTCCTCGTCGCAAACAACCAGCGTGACTGTGACACCAAGAGGCACAATTCATTCCAAAGGCCACGCACGCCTATTATATAACCCTAAAAATTTCCAAGAAACTCTCAGAGGGACTCTTCTTTCGACCCGGTCAAAAAAGACACATTCAAGAAGGAAACAAAAAAGGAGCGATGAATTCTGAAAATTGATTCGGCAGTTCATTCACTCGAATGAATGTCTTAATGAAAAGTGAATGAGCGATCATTCGATCCGCGTAGTGATAGTCGATGAATAATGGAACGCGCGCTCTCTGGATGGCCCATTAATAGTAACAGGCGACATGATATCTTAACGATAAAATAAGCGATCGATAGAGGAGATCGATTCTTCGGCCATCGAAAGAAAAGGACAAGATACGATTCCTCGATAATAGAATAGAAATGTGTGAAGGACGAAGAAATGATTATTCGGCGATCGATAAAAGGACGAAGAGAAGATTCCTCAGAAGTTGAAGAACGAGATTCTTCGAAGCAACGAAAATTATCGATTTCTCAACGATAGACAAAAGAAGAGAGAATTTCTCAGCGAATAGAATAGATCGACAGAAGAGAGCAGAAATAATTCCAGAAGCAACGGAACACACGATCGAAAGGAAAGAAAAGAGAAAGGTTGGAGAACATTGAATTAAACGGTGAATTAAATCCAGAATGACGATTATTGCGTTACCAACGATCGTTCGTGCGATCAGCTTTTCGCATTCTTCTCTGGATCCTATTTTCGATCATAGCGGAAAGCGAGCAACGTGTCTCGAATACAAACACGAGGTTCAAAGAAGTTCGAGGGGACAAGGAAGTTTTAACGATACGATTTAATAGATAGGAAGACAAGCTGTAAATCGTTTTAACAACCTACGAGGCACAATTGTTCGTACACCGTTCCATTCCCAGTTTCAATCCCGTTTTCTTTTTCCGATCGGGTTGCTTCGAATTTTCCCCGATACTCGAATGCTCCGCTACTATGCACGCTATTTTAATTTCGTTTTTTTTTTTAAATCTGTCATTAACGACCATCTTTCAATATCATTCATATATTTTATTATTTTCTCTTGATAATTTTCAAGATTTCATCGTTCTATCGAAAATCAATTTTGCAGTTATTCGGAATTTTATTTGGAATTTTTTCCCCCAATTTTTTTAATTTGGAAATTCTCTTTCCATGTTTTATTTCAAATTTCTTCACGATCGGTTTACTTTATTGAATTTTATGTTTCAATCTTGTGGTTAGAAAGGAATCCCGATAAACTAGAAATTTTTGAATTTTATGAAGAAATTAAAATATAATCATAAACTATGCTTTTTCTAAATTATAAAGATTCTCATGGTATTCCAGATTTTTAAATTAATTTTTAAATTATCTACTCTATGTTTCTCAATAGCATCTCCTTTATCCTTTTTTTTTTTCTAATTTTTTTTTTCTAATTTTTATAACTATCATTACACCATTCAATTCTATTAATAATTTAACCATAATAAAATCTTTCTAGAGACACCAGCGACCGAAACATCAGACACCAGACTTACATCCACTAAATTCATTCAAAGTAATCACAATTCAAGATATTTTCAAAATAACCAAACAAAAAAAAAAATAAATTCAAATTTCCACTATCCGAAATTACAATAAATCCACTCATCTCTCACCATATATAAATGATTAAAAAAAAATTCTAATCTTCTCTATCCAACATCCCGTTCGCCAGCATCTCCAGACGAATTATCGACAAAGGGAAAAGAAAAAAGAGAAACGATGTAATCGATCCATTAGGACTAACCATGTGCATCGATGGCGCGTCATGACGGATGGCGAAATTCCCCGTCCCGCGGGAATCCTCGAAAAAAAAAACCTCCTCTCTTATCCCGTTAATTCACGTCGACGTGCGAGAGAACGGCACCGAGTCCTCGGTAAAGGACGCGCGCGTGCAACTCACGAGAGAAAACTGACCGAAAGAAACGCGGTATGCGAAGAGAGAACCGACCCCCGATAGAGCCGCTTTCGAGAGCCGAGAGGGAAAGAGGGAGAGAGCGGAGAATGGACGGAGAAAGAAAGAAAGAGAGACAAGAGAAGGAGTTATGGAGAGAGAAAGAAAGAGATATTATACGGAGTTGGAAGCACAGATGAGGAGAGGCGAAGAGGAGGATACGAAAAGGAACGGGTGGAGGACCGAAAGGGAAGAAGAGAAGAGTAGGAGGGTGGGAGTGAGTAGCTTGGTGGGGACTTCTTACTCATTCATACTCAAACGCCCCCGCAAAATTGCAAACACCGTGGAGACGGTGCTTTTTCTTTTGCACACTTAAATTCCGGGCTATACATCCGGTTGATTAAGAAATTCGTTGCACTCGGTTTGATCTTGTTCAGAGGATAGATCTAATAGAGTGGAAAGAGATTCCTTCTTCGAAGGAAGGATCGCCTTAGGTGTTTTTTGAGTGAATTTTGAGAAGGAGATTGAAAATAAAAAAGATTCAGGAAGCGAGGATAATCTTTGAAGGAAGATTAATATTTATATTTGAATAATGGTTTTCTATCGAATCAATTTTTGGAAATGTAACTATTATGTAATTAATGTTGTATTTATATAGTACTAGTATTATGTAATGTTTTGAACGAAGTGATAATGCAGTCAATTTAAATTGGGTCGAACTTGAAGAAACGAGGTTAAACAAATAGTATGAGGTTTTTTATGATAAGATAGAATGATTTATTTTTAAATCGTGTATCAACCATCGATATATGCGAAAAATAAAAAGTGAAAACTACTGATTTATAATATTCTTTGTTAATGGTGTAAATATCGATCGTTTAATTATATCGATTGAATGAAAATATCATAAATTTATAAATTTATACAACTTATTTATATAACTTATAAATTACAATATAAATTTAATGAAAAAAAGAAATAAATAAATGACTCATAAAATCAAAAAATTTGTTAAGATTTTAATTTTAAATAAAATAGATTTTAAAGTAAAAACAAATTTCAAATTCAAGTTTTGTGAATCTAAAAATATTCAACCTATATCTAAGAAATATTATTCTTAAAATATTATTTTTACTTACAAAATTTCTCCAGACGATAGATCTAAAGATTTCAAACTTCTTGGCAGAATAAAATGAAAATTAAAAATTTTTCAATCGTTCAGTCTTTACACACTCATACATACACACACACAATGTAAGTAGCTATAAATATTCCATGTTATATAATATATTAATATGTTAATTAATGTATAATAATGAACATAATAACATTAATATTGCTTTTATTCCATTTAATCTTATGCATTTTCTATATATTTTATATTTTTCTATAGCTTAACGGGATTTATCGCTTAACGGGATTATTCTTACCTAACCTAAATCGCAAAGACAAAACTTTTACACAACTTTTAATCAACCCATATTGCGATTGAAAAAAAAGTAGAAAAAAAACGAAAGAATGCATATTAATGTAACATAATTAGAAACGTGTCTCGTACGTGTTATCGAGCGTGAATTTCATTTCGTCAGGGTTCGATACCGCGCAAAATTCAACGGACGCGATTAGTGGACGAACATTAACGTCCGTTTGTTAATTAATGCACGCTTCGTGCCCGCTGCGAACAATACGCACCGATTCAATTTCGACAGAGGATGAATTAACGGATCGACGACAACGTTCGATCGCGACGTCAACACACACCTTTTATTAATCGCACTCCAACCTCTAGTTTTGTTAATTATTCCTCATTACTGGATACGATCGAAATAAACGGAACAACGTCAATGACAGCTGCGCCACCAAGCGTGGGATGAAGGAGAAGCGAGGTCCTGATCGATATTATATAATGAATATCGATCGTTCGAGATATCGATAATTGTTAGTAATAGTTGATGGATATCGATTAAGTTATTATCGAGAGAATATATATCGAGGGAACGAAATATATCTTCGAAAATTGTCACTAGATACTTTGAATATTGCTCGTGATTAGAAATGTCGGTGAGTGATGAAGGTTTATTAATATTTATTAAAATTTTATTATTTGCAATTATGTAGTTATTGAATTGGTATTGATTTATTTATAAAAATTTATATTTGAAGGTTATAAATCTTTTGTATTTGTGAATCAAAGGTTATATATATATACTTTTACAAATCGATTTATGATCGATATCTATTGATATCGTAATAAATTTTTATTGATTTTAATTTTTTCTTGTTCTCATATATTTTCTGTGAATAAATATTATATTAGAGATATCCGGTATCTATGTTGTCTAAATATTATACAAATGATTGTATATTCGATCGAATATTTTATCAACTATATTGTGTATTATTCTGTTTTATGGAGGAAATTAATAGGAAATTAATTCTTATATAAAAAAATTTAACAAAATAAAAAAATTCTGGCTTCTTGAAAGCCACTATTAATCAAGATTTGTTCGACGAAACATAAAAATTGATAAAAATATATAAAAATTTATATTTATTTCAACATAACACAATATAAATTATAACCTATAAATGAAATACTAATCACTAAAACTTCAATATTTTTCTCAACATTTAATTTTTTAATATCATCTATGCAAACATCGATCTTCGATCAATAATAGTCACATTTCCATCACGTAAATGCTCTGACAATCACCACCTGTTATATCGTTCGCGAAATTACGAGATCCGGGATTATTAGCGATTCAACCGTCGAAAATTCGCCACGTGGCATGGTTTCACCCTTCCTCTAGTTGACCGATCCCTCATTGACGAATTCTCCCTGATGACAAATCGCGTCGCACGTGCGACTAACTGATAGCGGCGCGAGTTTCTGTAATCTCCACGATTCCAAACCCATCGATGGCTGATTACCGAACGCGATTGCGTTCAGTTAATTAGTGCGTGGTGATTGTCAAGCTGCAACCAGGATTTCCTATCAGTTCGAAATTTCGCCCCTATTGATTTTCCTTCAATGATAAAATTCGTATATTTTTATTGATAAAAGTTTTAAAGTGGAAATTTATTGAATAATTATTTATGATCGATTGTAATTAAAAATTATTAGATCCTAATATATGTGTTGTATTAAAATATAATAATTTTAAATTATTTTTCAGAGATTATAAAAAGATCACGATTTAGGAAAGGATAAGAAACATTACTTTGAAACTATATCATCTAAAAATAGAATGAATGCATTTGTGTAATATTGAGTTAAAACTGGAAGGTATTGAAAAAGTACTTAAAAAGTTTGTTAATAATATCATTGTTTCTTTGTCTTATACTATAATGCAAATTATATTTTGAATCTAGGAAAGTTTACAACGAAGCAGAAATGTTATTTCAGTAAATAAGCTTCCGGGATAACATTATAAAGCGAAGATTGAGGTCATTCCGTTTGTTGTATGAAACTATAAGCACTTATACACTCTTTGATCGAATAAAATGAAACTTCCTTTGATAATATGATTGAAAACTATGATATTTGGTGTAAATTATCTTATTTTTTATTTTATAAATCTGCATGTCTCAACTCGTTATTTTTAAATAAATAATATTTTTTATTTAATATTTTATTGAAATTAAATCTTTTAAATTTTATTTAGAAACATATAAACAAATTCTCCGTTTGATTCATCAAAAAATTATATATAAATTTTACAAAAATAATGAAAGATTTAGTGAAAAATTCATTTTCTTGAAAAATTTCGAAAGAAGTATAGGTTATGTTTCGTAAATAATATTTAGCAGAAAAAAAAATATAAGAACGATTGAATTTCATTTAATATAATATTCGTTTTAAAAAATTAAAATATTTTATACGATATTAACGTTACAATAATCATTTCTTTATGGTATATCTCCATCATCATGGACTAAGGTACGCGTGTTTAAAAACGGCTTGTCGTACGATTAAATTATATACACATCGAAAGAAAAATTGGCGGTTATGTTCAAATAAATAACCATTCGTCTGGAAGCGTTAAACAAACGAAATCTTGATTACAGCATATCACTATTTATTTAAATAACAGATATTTTTATAAAATTCTTCGTGTTCGAACTTCAAAACTTCTTTTTTTTGTAACTTTAAGTTTTTTCTTTCTGAATTCTAACTCTTTTTAACAACTATTATATCATTCTATATTCTATATGATTTTCACTTCACGTTATGTAACTTTACAATTTCTGTATGTAATTTGATAATTAATAATAACATTCCAAAATAAATTTTCTAAAAAATGAATATATCAAAACAAGCTGTATCATCGGTTATCGCACAGTTAGATCACTTTTTCCGTGTGACAGGACACATTACACACAGTATGAAGGATGGGCGTCAAAGGAAGCAGCTAGTGACCTCGAGAAGCAACGTTTCTATTTAGGGCAGACGATAGACGATAAACTGTGCTCCAGGATGCAGTCTGATAGAAAGCGGCGCGTGCGATTTTATTCCATTGAGATAGATGATCATTCATGTCCGCGACACAATTCATTCTTGTATATTTCAATTGCGTCGTTACTAATACGCATTTACATTTCTCGTTATCGATAAGATTTTGATTATCTGCGATGATATTTTTGCGAACAATTATTATGATTTCCAATTATGTTTCTGAAAAATTGCCATTTTAAAGGCTATTTTACATGGACGATTGATAAAAAAAAAAGATATTTGTTATATCTATCACATAATAAATTTCATCGATATACTCGTGTCAAAATCGTAATGTTAATATTTTATTAGTAAAAGTACATAAGTACCACATACATACGTATATACATGCATGTCAACTCAGATCCAAAGCATACGCAATAAACGTGCTAATGACTTTCGTTCCAATGCTAATGTACCTAACGTAAGTACACACGTACACGACAATTTCGATTAATTACCCCCTGACAAATTATTCCTGACACAATTAGCATCGTACAAGTGAATTCCAACGTGCACCACGTTCCGGTATCTTCATTGTGAATAACCTCAACGTTTCAGGAAACAGAAATCAACCAAAGATCAACGTAGTACCGTCTATCTGTAGGTTTAATTAATTTCGTGATGATTACCGACGTTTTCGGTTCGTTAATGTAATTGGGTCATTAGATAACGCTTTCGAAACTGTATCCATGAGTATGGAACGGATGAATGACGCTGATTATATGCTGAAAATAAACGAAGGCAACACAGAAAAAAGAAAAAAAAAGTGAATCTCCATTGTCCGGCATCGCGATATATGGGTGTTAAAACGATGACAATAAAAGGATAAAACGAGGATTACATTTTCCGCGATAAAAATTTAGAAATTATCATTGCATCAAAAAAGTATATTGTGAGAGAGATGTATCAATAGTGCAAATAGATCCACGTTCAAGATGGCGTACAATTATAATATCGAAGAGATACCGCCCGACGATGTTCCCACTGTGGAACATGATATACGACGAGCTAAAAAGTTCCTTCAAAAACACAGTCCAGAATCAGGTGATAGTCTGTAAGTTGGTAAATTCGAAATATCGGCTCACTCGACCAAAAATAGTCGATCCATCGTTAAACCGTGAAAAATTGAAAAAAGAGAGAAGAAATAACCTATTTAAGAACGAATTTATTAAAACCTGGAAGTGATAATTATTTTTTTTTTTTCTTGTAATTATATTTCTTAGAAGTATATCCATGAATAATAAATGTTAAATAATAATATTGGAATGTATTATGAAATTTCTGTGGAAAAAGATGATATATGATATATGATATCATTGTATTTTTGCATTTTTTATCATAATTGAATTGATCATAATACAAAATTAAATTTGTTGAAATGAATTTTATTCTAGAAATTGAACTTAATAATTGGAATTCAGAAATAGTAATCACGATTCGCAAAGTTCTCTATACGCGCATAGCTATTTCTAGAAAACGTTAACGCGGTTATCAAAGCAGAAATGCCTCAAAATAATAATCATCTACTTTGGTGCTCGATTTATTATTAATTGTATGCAACGATCCGAATAATTTCAAAATATTCATTATTGTTACTTCTATAAATTTAAAATAATAATAAGAAGAAATTTTATCAGATGTATTAATATTTGAAAATTTCAGGTACGATCACTTGACAGAAGTGTTGGCCAAAATACTCACTGAGAGACCGAAAAACGCAGTAGATATTTTCGAGGAATTTAGCAGAAAAGTAAAAGAGGAGAGATTCAAAACTAAATCCAGTCATCTTCGAGACATGTACGTTCCACCGACTCAGTTCGAGCATGCGAAAAAAATCATCAAACTATTCAAGGTGCGAACAATCGGAAACAATTAATAATTAAATAGTCATCAATATTCTATAAATAATAACGCGATTCACCTGAGAAATTTAATTATTGTACACTTTTCCTATAATTACAGAAACTAGAAAAATTCTATGAAACTATAGGAGAAAAAATCGAAGAAGATATTGAAGAAGATGAAGATAAAAAGAAGAAAATACCAAATATGTTAGATTTTTTGTTTTATTTCGAGCAAACTGGCATAGGATTACCTCGTAGAGAATTGGTGTTGCTTAATTTGTCTATAAGGGAACTCATGGCTGAGAATCCTATAGAAAATGTCAGGTATAACTAATAATTTTCACTCAAAAGTTTTAAGATAACTTCTATTTATATTTGATGTAAGTTATATATTTTTTGAATTGTAATTTATATTAAAATTATCAATCTTTAGAGGAATGAATTCATTAAAATCAGAAAAAAAATTGTTTATTTAAAAAAAACAATATTTTTTTCAACATTTGAATAAATGTGATAAATATCTTAAGATTTTTGAATGATAATGTATATGTATAAAATTTCTTACTAGAAAAAAATATTTAAAAATTAATAATTTTAATAACATGGTAGATTTTGGGGAAAAATTCTCGGAATTCCGAAAAATTATTACATAGTGGAAGCAGATTTACAACCAGAGGAACTAAATTTAAGAGTAGAGGTAAGAATAATTCGAAACGAAAAAAGAAAGGAACATTATTATATTCTTTTTCCGTGATTAATTAAATGAATATTTATCCACTTTGATAATCTTTCAATTGTTTAGAAAATTTTTTTTGAATAATTTTCTTGAATCGTTATAAAACAATACGACACGGAGAAAATGAATTTCAGAGTGAAAGAGAGCAAAAACACATTTTGAATCTCGTCCACGCGTCTGCAGAAAATGGCGGAAGAAGAGGAACGGAGACGTCAAGAAAAGCAAGCGAAAGCGGAAGAAGCGGCAAAAGCCGAAAAACAAGCTGTTGAAGACATGGAAGGAGCGACACAGGAAACGGGGAAAACAGAGGAAGAAGCGGCACCCGAGGGCTTGAAGCTCGTCTTTCCGCCTCTACCTACTCGTACATGGATACCACCACCGGAAATACCTTCAGAGAAACTCGGAACTGGCACAAATACCAAAGTACATTTTAATTTTTTTAATACATAATCGAAAATAATATAGAAATTAAAAAAGAAGTCATTATCAAAAGAAAGAGAAGTTAATCATAAAAATGGATTAAAATTTAATTTTTTAAAAATAAACTTAATCCAAAATTTTATGAGATTTCGAAATTTTCAAAATTCAAAATGCTCTGTTTTTTTATTAATCATTTAAAATTTTACGAAATACATAAAAAATAGAAAAAATAAAAATTATATTTATATTTAATAAAAATTTAACTTTCTAACTATTTAATTTGGTAACAGATTCATAAAATTCAAAAAAAGAGAGAATATATTCAAAAAAGTATTAAAATTAAGAAAGAATAGTAATTGCATGTATTAGTAAACGATATCATCAAGCAACATTCAATTAATCAAAGTGAGATTGTATTGCACGTATCGAAAACATCGACGGCACAAACATTCACGGTGCAATGTTCCATTGAATTAATATGCAACACAAAACACTGGGCGTGTTTTCCTGAGCGTGATCCTAGTGGTCGACTTTGTTCCAGGTATATTTTGTATGCAACGAGCCCGGTTTGGACAAGTGGATCGAACTGCCACCGGTTACACCGCAGCAGATAGTAATTGCACGATACATTGTTCGTTATTGCACAGGAAATTTAGAAACACCAGTAACGTATCCATTTTATAAAAATAGAATAAAATAAAAAAAGAAAGGAAATAAAAGAAATATATAAATTGTAAATAACCATGATTATTTTCGTTTTATAGATTCACACTTTCCCACCATTTCCTGGTACGGAAAAGAATTATCTTCGTGCGCAAATAGCCAGGATTAGTTCGACTACCCAAGTTTCGCCGATTGGGTTCTACACTTTTGGCATAGGGGACGAGGAAGAAGAGGTAATGGAGGAAATGGCAGAAGGTAATACATTATACTTTTATTTTGAAAAAAAATTAGAGAAGAGAGTACAATGCTATAAATTATTCGAAACGCTCGTTATTATGTTTTATTTATCGAGTAGTTTCTCTTAACCATTCTTAACGCTGGTTTTATTAATCATAAAATCATGGTTTTTTTCTTTTAACTTAAGTTTCTTTATGTGCCATTTATTGCATTTAAAGGTGGAGTATTGTCTGAGAACGTGAATTATGATCCGTTGCCTATTAAAGATTTGATAGACCCTTCTATGTCGAACTGGTGTCATCATATGCCCTATATTTTGAAACAAGGTCGTATTGAATGGTGGAGTCCACGGAAACAGGAAGAAGTAAGTTTAATTAATTAAAGAAATATTTTTTTCAATTCAAAAAGAAAAAATTAAAATCACGATTTTAATTTTCATGAAAATTAAGTAAGTTTAATCAAATATTCTTAAAAAATGTAAATTTAAAAAAAAATGTAAGTATAATCTTGAACTATATTTGGATTTTTTCATATTATTAAAACACACACACCCACCCACCCACCCACACACACACACACACACACACACACACACACACACACACACAGTTACTTTCGAATTTTCGAAGAAAAATAAATTTTAATTGTTTGAAATTATTATAAATGAAATTTTATCCCAAATGAATAATCTTAATATGATTTTCTTTAATAAAAGAACTTTTAAAGCTCAAAACAATTCTTGAATTAAAGATAATATTATATTTGAATATTAAATATGAATAGGTATTAAATTTAAATAGATCACAGAAAAAATTTCACAAAATTAGGAACTTGAAGAAGAAATAGGTGAAGAAGAAGAGGAAGAAGAAGAAAAAGAAGAGAAGGAGGTTGGACCTCCGCTTTTGACACCTTTGTCGGAAGATGCTATAATAGACTCGATAATACCGTGGGGTACTTCATTATCTTCCCGTGTCCAACCTGATCAGGCGGTCGCATTAATTAGATCAAACATTTGGCCTGGAGCGTATGCTTTTGCCTCCGGAAGGTGCGTGTACTATAGACCCTATTCAATAATGATTTTCCATTAAGCAGACGTATCTATGATATTTATGTGACCGACGAGTATAAATTCCCCTTGGGATATCGAAGAAACAGCACGGCAAGCTCGAGAGCGAAGGGAAGGTTTTATCGTGGGACGAATCAACCGGGAAAAGAGGAATTATGGCGCGTTAAAGGAAAATTAATGCGCGGGAAATTACGCTAATGTTACTTTAATGGTGTCTCTCTACAGGCGTTGCGCTAACGTGTACATTGGTTGGGGTCACAAATACACGGCGTACAATTACAGCCCTCAGTCTATGCCACCTGTACAGGATCAGTATAAAATCGGTCCTGAGATTATGGAAATTCAGGATCCAACCTTCGAACAAGAAGAGGCCTTTAGAATTGCTCATTTACCGCCTCCACCTGTTATACCGACAGGTAAAATGAATAAAAATAATTATACAGGGTGACTAATATTTTCTCTATTTTGTTTTTTCATTATTTGATGTTCATTTTCATAGAAGAAGAAGAAGAAGGTGTAGAAGAGGAAGAAGAAGAAGAAGAAGAAGAGGACGAATAATATAATAGATAACTGCATTATCAAGCAATGATTTTGATTTGAATTTGTTAGTAAAATAGACGCGTTTATATACTTTTATATTTAATTTAATATTTAAGTTTAATATTTAACTTTAATATTTAACTAACTATATAACTTCAATATTTATTTATTATTAGTTTTTAATCGTATTTATCAAAAACTAATATTATAATGTAGAGTAAGTATTAGATATAAAATATAATATTATATAGCATTCTGATTTAATTTAGTATATCGAAAAGATAATGTGTAATTACAGATAAATTGTATCGCAAAAGAGATGAAAATTAGAATAGACGTGACATCTTACGGAATTTTCTATCACATGTTCTAATATATTGATTTCAATCTGTGTTTCTTATGCCATCTAACATAATATGATCGTACTATTTGTATGAAATATATTGCTTTTCATTAGAATTAAAAAAATATCAGTTTTAATTTTAAAAATTTATGATATCAAAAATTATAAATTATTCAATTGATTTAAACATAAGCGAATCTATTTCTTAGAAAAATATAGAAAAATATCGAAGTAAAGATCAATAATGTAAATCAATAAATGTGATATAAAAATGATAAAAATAGAATAAACTTTTAAAGTGATTCAAAACTAAAATGTAGCTTATGTTTTATATTTTTTTACTTTTTTAAACTTTTGTTTTTATCAATTAATAATTATTAATATATTTAATTATTTGCTTTTAGTTATTTTAACAATAATATATATCTATGAAATCACTACTACATCTTTATTTTATTTATAAAAATAAATGTAACAAATCAAAAGAAATTAAATCTAATTGTTGTCTTAATTTTTCTTCTTGTTGCATATTATCAAACCACCTAGACACATGTACATATTGAGCTTTCTCTTGATGACTTAATTCTCGCTGCAATAAGAAATAGGTCAAAGAGATTAAATTGATCTATACAATCTACTAAGGATTCCTATGTTTTACTTATTATACTTTTTTATTACCATTATTGAATGTAGAGCATAATATAATGTAATATCAGCAATAGTTTTCTTTGTACCAGTTAAATATGTATTATCCCTTAGTGCAATATTTAATTCCTATAAAAATAAAATATAGTTTTTTAATTTATATATTTTTGAAATATATTTTGTATAAATCTAATCAAATTAGTATTTATTCTTAATACAATTATATAAATAATTGGATTACCTGCAAGATTCTTTTCGCATTAGCGGGAGTATCAGCGTAATTGACACAGACAACTGCATATTCCAGCCACTGACGTGATAATGCTTTCATTTCATTATCAATACCAAGTATATCAGGGTACTTGGAATTTTCAATTAGAAATTGAATTATAGTACTAAATCCTTCTATTTTTTTATTTGATTCCCGTTCCATAGTAACAATTACCTATAAAATGATATAAAAATTAAATTAATTTTATTCTTTAATATAATTTATTTTCATAAAAAAACTTATTATTTACATTTTCTTGCATTTCCAGTGGTAATGGTGAGACATCTAAGTAATTTGAAATTCTTTCTAAACATTCTATGTTACATAAAACCATTGTTTTAAACTTTACACTTTCTCAATCTTCTTGTTTTTTTTTACTAGTTATGGAAATAATTTTTAGGTTATGTTTAAAAAGGGCACAATACGTTGACGTAACAATCGATGGATAAATTCGCATCACATTCTATATATATTCAATAATTTACTTTATTGCAAATATTTGTATGGAATATGTAATTATATACACGGAATATTTTAACATTAGTTAGTCTTTATTTCAAATATACAATTTAATTGTAACAGTTGTATAAAATTTGCGACTAACAATAATAGATATCATTTTTTTATTGTATTTTTTTAACATATTTAAAATTACAAAATTAATTGACTTAGTTTAAGTATTTAGACCTAAGTCTTTCATCTCAAGAGAGAATTTGTTTTATCAGAATCAGAAAAATGTATTTTCATAAATTACATTAAACTATATGATAAAGAAGTATTAGAATCTATTAAATTATTTTTTTATATCATGTTACAATAGGAATGAATAATCAACTAATAAATAATTAATTTCTGATTAAATTTTTTTTCAATAGTGTTCCCATAGTTTGGCATTTAATTTCTGAATGTTTTTAATATGAATTATTTTTTTCTTGTTGTATTATAGATTTTATATATTATATATAATTTTTTTAACTAAATATAATATTAATATGATTTTATGGGAATTTTCAATAGTGTTTTTTAATAAAATAAATCAGATAAAGAGACAACAAGAAAAAAATATTACAATATTTATATTTTGTTTAATAATTCAGTCATAGTTATATCAATTAAATTGATTGATCTACATAGAATATGTCATACATGTATATACATGCAATAATAAATTAAATTGTATTATAGAAATATATGAGAATATTTTTTTATAAAGTTGGTAAATTTATATATATAGGATTTTTAAAAATTGATTTCCAATAAAATGCTTTTTTTCTTATAAATGAATTTTTCTTACAAATATATAAAATACATATTTATATTTCACATAAAAATTTTTTTAAGTATATTATAAAAAATCTTTTTAAAATAACTTTTTTTATATGTAAAATAATCATGAAATAAATTTCACTTGTTAAAAACAATTATAATTTTTTTCATAAAACAATTTTGCATAAGTACATGTTTATCCGTAATTAAATATGTGATTTCACATAATCCAAGACATAAAAAAGTTATATGCAATTAAATGCAGGTACTCTTTTTTTTTTTGTAAGGTGCTCATTTAATATTTATCTATTTAAAAAAGTCTCTTTTCATATGAAAAAAGACTATGAACATTTCCTTCTTGCTGAGCAGAATGTGTTCTTCTTTCAAATTTTAATTCTCCACTATACATCATAGATCTTAAAGTAGAGAGAGATTTTGATCCAATGTCTTGACATCCATGTTTAATGCCACATAGTAGATAAGGTAAAAACTTTAAAACACTTCCTTTATCAACTATTGAACCACTAACACCTTGAGCTACTTTCAATTTGTCCATCTCATTATGAAAATACCTATCCATTGCTGATCCTTGTGCATCTTTTCTATTCATGGCTTCTAAAGAACCCATACCTCTATATTTTTTTAGACGAACACCATCGCTAAAAAAATATTCACCTGGTGCTTCTGAAGTACCAGCCAATAAAGATCCCATCATAACTGTACTAGCCCCTAAACTTAAACCTTTGATAATGTGTCCAATAGATTGAATACCACCATCTGCTATAACAGGTACACCAAATTTTCTTGCATATTCTGCAACTTTATATACAGCAGTTGCTTGAGGTCTTCCCACAGCCATAACTTCTTGGGTAATACAAATAGATCCACAACCCATTCCAACTCTTAGAGCATCAGCTCCAGCTTCTATAAGATTTTTAGCTTGCATAGTTGTTACAGCATTTCCTGCAATTACTTGCAATTCTGGATATTCTGATTTAATGTATTTAATCATATCAATCTGATATTTAGAATTGCCTTGAGAAGAATCCAAAACGATTACATCAACACCAGCTACAGCAAGAAGTTGTAATCTCTGTTTATCAGCATTGCGTGTGCCAATAGCAGCACCAACTAATAATTGTTTATTCTCATCTTTACTAGCATTTGGATAATTACGATTTTTTTTCAAATCAGTTCTTGCCATTAAAGATACTAATTCTCCCTTTTCATTAACAATTGGAAGTTTTCCTTTTTTAGATTTTTCAAGAATTATATTTGCTTCTTGTAATGTTACACCAGCAGTTGCAGTAATCAAATTTTCTAATTTTGTCATTATTGTTTCTAATTTTATATATTGCTGATTTGTTGTACTTTCCAAAAAATCAATATCTCTGGATGTTACAATGCCTAATAATTTACCCCCAACTTTTCCAGTATTTGTAATAGGAATACCAGAAAAACCATGTTCAGCTTTTACATTTAGAACATCTTTGACTGTATGATTGGGTGATAAAACTACTGGATCTCTAATAAAACCATGTTTATATTTTTTCACCTAAAATCATAAGAAAAAAAATTATATAAAATTATTTAAAATTATAGTTTTAAATACAAATTCAAAATTTAAAAATTCAAAAATTTTTATTTTTTTTCTTTTTAATATAATAAATGTGAAAAAAAATGAGCATAAATGAGATTAATAAGAATAATTCAATTAAGCATAAGAAATTTTCTACAAAATTTTTAACAGAAAATAAATATTTATTATCAATCTATATATTATCGTTAATTACGATGTTACTATTCGATAAATTAGAAACATAAGATCAAATGAAATGTATATTAATAAACGAGCAAATGTATTATAAAATTTTAGGTGCCATAAGTACTATTTTATATTAAACAAATGGAAATATTTAAATAAAAAAGAAATATACCTTATGCACTTCGTTGGCTTGATATTCGGGTGTACAATTATGATGTATTATGCCAATTCCTCCACATAGAGCCATGGCTATAGCCATGTCGGATTCTGTAACTGTATCCATAGGAGATGATACCAGTGGTGCTTTGATCATAATTTTCTTTGTCAACGGCGACAATAAATCAACTTCGTCGGCAGTAAAATCAATATAACCCGGTAAAATAATAAAATCATTGTAGGTAAGACCATCACCAGTAGTGAATAATTGTCCTGCTGAAAGTCCATCGTCCGGTAGGGGTACATCTGCCGGTTTTGTGTCACCGATCACATAGTCTGCCATCGTTTTTTTTCAATCGACGATTGTTTATATTTTATGCCTCCGTAAAAAATTAGTTATATTTTAATTAATATATAACTACCGTATAACGAAGTTATATACACGCTTTTTCAACACAGATGTTAAAAATCGCGGGCTTTCCGTATCAAACCGGAGATCTCCAGGCAAAATGACCGAAATCAACGTGCGCACAGTGCATTTATAGTTTATGTGAAGCGTGTTTCCCCCTTTCGTCTAATGATGAGTACTATCGGCAACGATGTTTTACGAATATAGTCGAAAATGTCCGATTGTTTCAATTTGAATATATTTGGCATAAATAGAACTAACAATTAGAAAATTAAAAAAGATATATTGTAAATATTAAAGATATAATATAAACGGACAATATAATCTATAAACTAAAATATAAGTATAATCTTCAAGTGAAATTTTAATTATAAATGTGTAAAAAAGGAAACATTTACACATAGAATTAATTACAAAAATACTTGTTTAGTACAAAAATAAATACTAATCAATAGATAAAGAACAAACCATAATAAAATATTTTTAAACTTGCACACAGTGCGAAGATCATCGTTAATTTTATGCATTATTGGTACATTTCTTACATGCATGCTAAAAATTTTATAAAATTTTATAAAATTATAACATTCTCATTTGTTTAAAATATGAAAGTATTAAAATTTCAATCATAAACTTACTGGATAGAAAAAAATTTGTCTTACACCATTAAAAATACCACCAAATGCTTCTTGAAATGAAGATAAAATATATTCCACTACCAGTTCCAAATAACTTAAATTTTCATAATCATCGTATTCTTCGTAATAAAAATAATCGTACAACATTGGTAAAAATATTATTAGAATATACATCATACCACCAAAAAAAACTAAAAATTAAAAAAAAGAAAAAATATTAAATATAATTGATTAATTAAAAAGGATCAAATTTAAATTAAATAAAATAAATACTTACTAATAGATTTAAGTTCCAAAAACTGTTTATCATTTTTATTCCCATTATATCTTAATTTATTAACTATAGGTTCATTACTATTTAAATGTGAAATCTTTTTTGTATTAGAATTTTGTATACCATCTTTGTGATTTGCTTTGATATTATCATTTATATATAATTGTTTTGTTTGCATAATATTTGATTCAAGATTTGAATCTCTATATAAAAAATTATAAATAAGTTATTATTTTTTTAAAATAAATATACATGTCATATGTATACATATTTTTATATAACTTACAATGCCTTATTTATGGCAGTAGAAAGAGCTGTACATTGTTGTAATGTTTGCAGTTCAGGATTAATTTTTAACTGATTTTTTAATTCTTTACCATATACTTCATTTGTTTTTCCCTGTTTTCCTTTTTCAGATATACCCACTGTTAAATTATACGGATATTGCTGTTCAATACTGCTTGTGTTCTCTATTTTATGTCTCAATCTATTGTAGTATTCCCAATAACTTTTATTTAATAATTCTTGGGTTTTTGGAGAAATTCTTTTTGATCTTTCAAATATATCATCTATATTTGATCTTGGAGATGTTTCATATTTGCAACGTTCTCTTTGCAAATATATTTTTGACAAACTTTTAGTAATATCTTGTCTTGAAATTATATGTTTGTTGTTTTGCAAATAATTATTTTCAATGAAATTTGAGACATTATCAATTTGCGTACACATATTTTGTTCTTGTACAGGAACAGGATTAAAGTGTTGACTCATTTTTCTTGTCTTATGATTACCGAATTTATGAATGTTCGTTTGATTACGTTTATATTTATTATATTGACAATTAGGCCATACTAAAGTATAATCAGAATCTATTAATGCTGAATGAGAATTTTTTTGAAAATAAGATTTAGCTTTTCTAGAAAATCTAGCTGATGCTTTTTTTTGTTTAAATGTAATATATGGTTCAGAATTGCGACAAAGTTTTCTGGTACATTCATTTTTTATACAAGGTAAATATTGCTCAGATTTATTTCTTCCTCTTGTTTCATAGATATTTGCTTTGTAATTTTGATATAAGGATTGATTTTGATTATTAACAATTATATTAGATTGAGGTACTGATTGAAAATATTCATTTTCTTTTGATAAATGATTTACTTGATCATGATTTAAAACTGGAGTTTTAATATTATCATGTATAGTATCAGTATTAATCTTATTAACTTTGTTTGTAAATTCATTTGCATCAATAAATTCTTTTTTCTGAATAAATTTTTTTGTAACAAATTCAGAATCTGTTGTTTCTTCACAAGTTGTATTGTATGTAATTTTTTTCATTTTTAAACATTGGAAAACATGATTATTTGTATTTTTTTTATTTATATTTGGAATATAATATTCAGAATCGCTAGATTCTTGTTGTGCATGTTGAATATTTAAGTTTGGCAATTTTTCAGAGGTAATTAGATTTTCTGAAAAATCTGGTTTAAAACAAGTTTTTTTATTTTCTTCAAGTATTTTATTTTGTATTAACGTAGTATTTTTCTCTTCATAAATACTTTTTTCATCTGCATCTGAAAAACTATAATTTCAATGAATGGAAAATAAAGAATTATAAATGTTTGTAAAATTATTACTGTTAATAAGAGATTTGCTTTCATTCTGTGCTTGATTTGAATGAATATGTTGTTCTGACTCTTTCTTCATTAAAGGTAAAGTTTTAGTTTGATTCTTGTGTTCTAAATGATTTAAACATTGCTGTATTACATTATTTGTTCCTGTAGAAGATACTTGCATTGGTATGTTTTGATAAGTAAGAACTGGAAGTTGCACATTATAGCATTGATTTATACATTCTTGAGGTACAGTGATTGTGTCAACATGTATTGCATTTAAAGCATGTGACTGTAGTTTTTTGTCTAACACAAAAAACAACTGTCCATTATTTTCCTAAATACATTAAAATAATAAAGAAATTTATTCTGTTATTTATATTTTTAATAAAAATTAATTATAAAATATTAGAACATATACTTGCACTGGTAAAGAAGTAATATCTACTTGAGTATTTGCATCATTAACAGCTAATTTTGATATATGTTCAGAAGAATATAAATTTTTTACATATTTATTTTTTTCTATAATTTCATTTTCATTTCCATCTGAAATATTATCTTGTTTTTTTGATTCAAAATTATTTTTAGAACTTTTTTGTTCTAAAAGCAATTCCTTGTCAATGATAAACTTAATATTTTCTCCATGATTTTCTATTAATTCAGTTTTTTTTTCTTCATGAGATTTTTGTGCTTCTTGAATTTTAATTTGTTCTCTAACATATTATAATTTTGAAAATTATCAATATATAATTATATATATATAATATATAATTATGTAATATATTATCAATTAAAAATGATGTATACTTTTCAAATGTTAATTTTTCCATCTCTTTTATATTTAAACCTTCTGTAGAAGTAATAATAGATTGATCGTTTTTTTGTAATGATTCAGTTGATGTAACTTGATTTCTCTTAATATTTGTTACTCTATTAATATAATAATTATTATATTGATTTAAATTTCTATTTATTTTTTATTTCTATTGATTTAAATAAAATACTTTTTAAAACGAGGATCTGTATAACCAGGAAATTTCTTCAAACTGTATAAACTTGAAGCAGCTTTTTGATGATGAAAGGAAGAATATGCACTATCTTTAGTTACTGTAGACTTAGGAGATCTGTATTTTTAAATATATTTCTATTAATATATATTTCATAAAATTTTATAATATTTTAATTTAATACTTACTGATTTAGAGGTGTTTGAACTATAGTACGACTCCTTCTAGGAGTTCCAGTTAATGTAATTATACATGGAGGTTCAATAGTATCATCAACATCATCAATTAATTTACGCTGCGGTATTTTAGGCCAAGAAGGATCGGCTGGTATACTAAAATAATTTAAAATAAATTGATTTTTTGAAAAGAAAAAATAGATTTTAATTTTACCGTAGTGATCCAGCATTGTTTTTCTGTGGGACTGGTATCAAATTTTCACTGTTTACTAAAGCAACATGTATCAATTAAATTGTCATTTGGAAAAAGTATTTTAATATTCTTACTTTTTATATGTAATTGTAGAGCATTTGCATTATCTTGATATGCCATATTGAAGCAGTCGTACATTTCAATACTTTCCACTTTTTTTAATACATTTGTAAAAGTATAATTCCTGAACTAATTATATAAATTATTAATATTAGAAAAAATACAAAAACTGTACAGGTTTAACGTTAATTTCATGTTTTACAAAGTAATAGGTCTGTACTTCAAGTAGAATTATTCTTGTTTTCTTGTAGTCAAATGTTTTGAATATATACAATAGTAAGAAAAAAAAAAACTTTTATATTAAAACAAATATTTTTATTCTTAATAATAATAATAATAGCCTTTGTACAAAAAGATCGAAGATCGATTATTATAATCAGTCATTTTGTTTTATTAATGACAGATGTATTTATATAATATGTATATCATTCTAATCTTAATATTAAAATATTATATGTACAATAAATATACAACTGTAGTAGATGCAGGAACAATTAACTATGATCTACATCAGTATCTTAGAGCTTGATTTATATTACATTAAATTAAAGTATATTTGCGCACCATAATGATTATAATATCACAATATCAAGCTAATTATACACTTATGTAGGGACTTAATATTTTGCTTACAAAATATTACAATTTATGATATAAGATTTATAATTTTATATTATTATATATGTGTATGCATACTGTATATGTGCAAATTTAAAATCTGTGTGAATAATATAATAAATAATTTTTTTAGATGTTCCTCATTGAAACATAATAAAAAAAAATTCTATTTATTTTCTACTAAATACAGAAGTTGTTAATATTGTTTTATACACAAACGAAATAATCAACATAGCAAAATATATTCTCTGTTTTTTATGAATAAATAAATTGATTACCAATGTTATATTGTAATTAAAATATACTTTGACAAAGGAATGTATCAGTATAATTATTTTGACTAGATTTGAGAAAGATGATAGAAATATTATTTTTATCAAATATAAAAGTTGTATGCCATAAAATACATTAATGAATCTGGCCACCACATTTCTTAATATTATTATAGAATTTGAATTGGTCCAAAATCTAAATATAATTTCATTATAACGGTCTTATATCATTAAAATTGCATAAATATCTCACTGGCATTGTCTTAAAATTTAGGGCATACTTCATTTTGAATAAGTACATAATATTTAACAAATATCTTTACATAACATACATTATGTCTTTTGAAAAATATAAATTAAGTTCTTTTATTTTTAATAATTCATTTTATGAAATTTTTATATAATATGAAAAATTGAAAAATATTTAAAAAAATTACTAAAATAATACTTTTTAAATGAAGCAATACTAATAATAATTATTATAAATAATTATTATCAATTTTAAAATATATTACAAAATATTATTGGTAAAATAAGTACTCTTTTGTTTTTCAGACTTTTTTATAGAAACAAGTGTATGCAATTAATCTTCTGAAAAATTAAAATTGAAGATTGTACACAGAATTATTATTTTTATAAATTACTATTGCACATATAATTAAATAAAGATATAAGATTAATGATAAAAAAATATCTTTAACATATTTATCACAAATTATATATGTATTATTTCGCATGAAATATTAGAATCTATTTTAAATTCATATATTATAATTTTCTAGAAATTGTGTGAATATAAAAGCTAAGTATAACTTTTAATATGTATGCATTGTAAAAAATATAAAAATTCTTTCAAAAAAAGAAATCAAGCAATTATAGCAAATCAATTAATATGAAAAACTTTTTTTAAGAAATATAATTAAATATTTTTCTATTTCAAGAAAAAACTTTTAAGAGCTCAGATAACATACATATTGAACAATGTACAATTATTGTCTGGCAGTATTGTAATATTCTGCACACAAATGAAATTGAATTTTTATGATAAATTAATTTAGTAACATGTATGTTTTTATAAAAAAAATTATTTTAGAATTCTTAACATTGATTATATAATGCTTCGTAAAAATGCTTTGTAACCAAATATGCATATATCATTCATTTTAAATTATATATAAAATTTGTTTAGTAAAGATATTCATATTAAGAAGACATATATAGTACATTAGTATATTAATAACTTTTTATGCATATTGACGAAGCATTTGTTAGGTATAGAAATATACATACACAAAACACATTTATTACATATCTTTTTTCGTTATTGTCGAATTAAGCTTCGTGTTCGCCGCTATTTATTCCTATGAGCGATTCTGTTTGTTCTGCTTCAAGATCTGGTATTCTAAAATTGAAGATATTATTTTTTTTAAATTTATTAAAACTAAAATTTATAGCAGTATATATTTTTTTAATTAATATACCTTATTGATCTATTTTTCCTGCAAATCCAAATATAAATTCTTTTTATTAAATCCATTACTGGATCCCAATTGTCATAATATGATAGAAGAGATACAGTCAGAAATGCCAATAGCATTGGAATGGTTCCTAGATAGAAAATACAAGGGTATTCGACTTTTTTTAATAAGACATCAGCTATCATTGACATTGGCATAAGTAAACTAACTGCCAAAGTCGCGATGAGAGATGACGTTAAAAAGCAACCCCTACAAGTAGACATGAAATGAATATAATATATATTAAATACAAATTAAATTCAACATTTTTTTTTCATTACAAACATACCACAACCAAAGTACTTCACTTAAAACTGTACCAATCAAACCATTGATAATTAAAAATGTCCACTGATGAGTATCTGGCCATTCAAATTCTTCCCAATGGCCATAATGAAGAATAAAAAATACAGGCCATAGAAGTGTCAAATTAAAAAGTCCAACAAATCCAAAAAACATTGGAATATCCATCTTATCTTCATGATCTACTTTTCTCTTTAAAAACACTATATAAGCTGCATAAAAAAATGCACTGACTAGGGCCAATATTATGCCTGTAGGTATTCTACTAGTTTCTATAGTTAAATCTGAAAGACCAACTAGAACCTATTAAAAAAAAAAAAAAAAAAAACAAAAGAAATAGAAAAAATTTTTTTCCATGTCTTTTTTACATGTTTTTTATATATTGCTATATATGCTATAATTATACATACTAGTCCAAGAATGCTAATAGAGACAGCAACTAGTTTAGATAATGTAAACTTATCCCCACCATTACTAGGAAAAAATGCAGCAAGAAACAGAGTAAATAAACTAGAAGTTGATGTTAATACAGTTACAATTCCAGCTTCAGTTCTTGCTAATGATATTTGATAAGTATAATTTGCCATAAACCACTGTAATTAAAAATTGTTTTAAGTTTAAAATATAATATATAATTATAACATTAAGTTGATACTTACAAGTAAACAAAACATAAGTGCAATTTTAGCAACTTTTTGGACAGAAAATTTATTGGCTTGTCGTCTTGCATGTTCTCCAGCTCTTAAGCTTGCTTGATAACTAAGTCTTGCTAATAATGCTTCTGTGGCATCACTTTCTGACATATGACGAACTTCTGCTAATTTACTAAATCTTACTGAACGTATTGATGAATCATCACTTTCTGTACCTGAAGAACGATCACAATGATCTGATGTTTTTATTGGAACAAATGTTGGGTCACTCTACAATTATAAAAATTTTGATTAATATTTATTATATAAAATATTAATGATATATTAAAATTTGTAAGACAGAAAAAATAAAAATAATAAAAATAATAATTTCTGTTTACCAAACTTGTGTTGGCTTCTGAATAGAAGTTATCATCTTCTACATTAGGATCTATGAACTGAAATAAAAAAATGAAATAATAATTAACAATTTTATTTCATTAATAAAATTTATTATTTGTATTTAGATGTACCATATATGTTGCTGGTTTATTGCATTGATCTCTCCATGGAGGCCAAAAACATAAACCAAGTAAATAGAATGTAAACATTGATGTTTTCACATATGTACTAAAAAATGGTTTTTCAAATGCTGCTTCTCTGTAAATATACTAAAATATAAAGATCATTATAAAAAATTATAATTTATAATTAATTTAAATATAATATTTGAATAATTCTTACTTTAGTAAGTTCAGAACTAGAAACCCAAATGATATCAACTAATAATAAAACTAACAGGCCCAACACAAGTCTTTGAGATTTATTCATCATTGCTGCAAGTTTATGAGGATCCTCCGCCATCCCCTGTTGTCTACGCTGTCTTAATTCTACAGAGCAGCTCATGATATATCCAATTTCTTTTATAATTATGACATTATGATGATACTGATCACTGTAAAATTATAATATAATTAAAAAAAATTATAAATTGCAATAATAAACATATCTATTTAAAAAATATAAACTATTTATATAAAATGAAAAGTTAATATTAAATAATTAAATTCTATATTAGTTAATTTAATTAACAATTTTGCCTAAGAAATTTCTAAAAAGATATAGATAAACATAATATTATAAAAATTAAAACATAAAATCTACAATGAAATGGAAATAAAATACACAAAATAATATAATTTGCATAATAATTGTAAATCAATTATGTATTATGTGCTAGGAAAAATGGGAATACAAAACAAAGGATTAAAAAGGAGGACAAAAAAACAATGTTTCAAGGTTTCACTAATTTAATTGTCTTATTTTAGCTACAAGTTCATATCTGATCATGTTCAATATAATGCAATATAAATAGCAGGTATATTTAAAAAAAATTTTGTTGACTTTATAATTGATAACAAGTGGACATGCGGCAAATATAAAATTGCGATATATAAGATAACCTATAAAAGTTGCAATAATAATAAATAACAATGTTTTATTATATTAATACAAAAATTAAAAGAAGAACTTCACTCACAATTAAAAATAACCTTTAATTTTGTAGTACTGGTAACTAATTTATGTTCTAATCTTTCTTCTACATGTTAGAAATATAAAATGATAAACTTTCTATGCTCCCTAACTAAACACTCAAATAACACTATTCACACGTTAATATACAATTTAAATATTTAATTGTTTAATATAACTTTTTTCCTATATTTTTGTAACTTAAATTCAAGATTGTTTTAATGTTTCCGTTTCGTTATCGCGTCGGAACAACTAGCCGTAACCATGTTGATATGACGTTCCGTAGTTCTATTATCACCCGGATGGCGCTACACGTCACATGAAGAATAGAATACATCTTTTAATGTATTATTTATTTAATTTTAATTTCAATAATACATATAATATTCATTTCTATTATTTTAAAATTATTTTCATAATTTTTTAACTGGAATTTTTGTTTGATAATTATTTTCTTTTGCATATAATCATAATACTAAAATGTTTTTTGGTTACCGCTATATATGTATTTCTTTTTATAGATGACATAAATAAACAATAAAGATAATTAAAAATTTTGTGTACTTGTATCTTAATATTAATTTCTAATTTTATTTTATACATTAATTTAGAATAAAGAAATAAGATCAATTGAATAATTGACGAATTATATTTCAATGTTAAAAATTATGAAATTATCTTAAAAAAGTAAATTTATTTTTTTTTTAATCTAAAGATTGAGAAATTGTCTATACATAGAATTATATTTTATTATGATTATATCTTATGATGATTCTTTGTGAAGAAGACCTAAAACAAGGGTTGTCATAGCAAATACCAGTAACAACACAGTGAATTTGTCGTTTAATGTGAAATATACTCACAGATTATTATTTTTGTGTATTAATAATGACTAACAATATTTTTAGTAATGGCCGCATTCAACAACAGACGATTGTTTCGCAGCGTTTAAGAAATGATAGGAAGGAAGGAAAAAAAGGTGTTTTTGTTCATTTTATATTATTTATTTATATAATATACATATATATATCCAAAATTCTTATTATATCATTATCAAATATTAATAAATACATATATATTCGATGAATATTAAATCGTAGTTGTTAAAAAGATAGAAATACTTGAAATATTAAAATAAGAACGTTAAGATTTGAATTTCTATGATAATGTATGAAATAAAATTTTCTGTGAACAGTTATTGTAATTTCTATTTTATGTTCGAAAAGATAGTTTTATAAAAAATATGTTTTTTTTAATTTAAATTAAAATGTATGTTAGTATATTTTTTTATAAATTTATGACGTAATTCGATATTATATTTTATATTAAATTAGCACCAGAAATATCAGCGATAGAGAGCAACAATTGGTTGTTGCATCGACATTATACGCGACATGAATACAAAACTTGTAAAATATTAATTGATCAAGAATTAATAAAATCAAACGGATATAATGAATATGCGAATTATTTAAAAGTAAGCAAAATTTTTACGTAATCAATCATTTTTAATATTCAAATAAAAATGTCGAAATCAATTAATTTTTTCATAGGGTTTAATACTAAGAAGAGAAGGAAAAATTCAAGATTCGTTAAACTATTTTCAAGCTGCTTATAACGTCAATTCAACGTCAATTAATAACATAAAGCAAATAGCCAAATCATTGTAAGTAAGAAAAATATCGGATATTATATATTCAATAAATATTACTATATATATCTATCCATATATATATATATACATATAATTTTTTTTTAGTTATAATACTAGTTATATAAAAGATATTGAATGATATTATTCAATTTAATTTATATTGTAATATAAAAATATCTGTTGTTTTAAATTCAAATAAAATAATTTTATATAACGATTTTTTTTATAGTAAATAACATATATATGTTTATATATATTTTAAATTTATTTATTATATATTTTATTAGAAATTTACTAAACTTCACGAATAATATATAAGAAAAGAAATCAAATTAATAAAAATATAAATATTATTTCTATATCGTATATTTATATCGTATGTTGTTATATTTTTGCGAAAGATATAAATAGCAAGTATTAATTCTTTATATCAATAAATATTAATATTATTTAATAATATATAATTTGACAGTTTGATAATGGGTAATCATAAACGTGCAATCGAAGCGTATTTGGAAGCTGAAAAAATATCGAATATATCAGATTGGGAGATTTATTTTAATTTAGGCATGTATTAAATTTTTTCATTAAATTTTTTATAAATAATATAATATAATATATATAAATATTAATTATATTATAATATAATATATATATATAATATAAAAATACAAAAATTGAATATATAATAATATAATAAGAAAAATATTAAATTTCTTAGTTTTAATTGCTAATTTTTATTTTTTAGGCGAATGTTACATGAAATTGAATCAGGTATATGAAGCAAAAAAATATTTAAAAAGATCGATCGAATTAACGAAAAATGAACTACCTTATATTGCACTTGCCAAACTTTGTCTTTTCGAAAATCATGTTATAGAGGCACAGAACGCTTATACAACTGCTCTTAGGTATTATATATTTATTTTTTATTTTAATATATTTTATGATGAACATCTCATCTTATTTCACAAACATCTTGCGCATGCAGATTTAATTCTTCATCGTTGCGAGATTATTGTCTCGAATGTTCTTGTTTACGATGTAATACTTTGGAGTATTATGTTCTACCTCTTATTACAAATTAACTATAGATTCCAGATTAAAAAAATGCAAAGTTAACAAAAACGACATAAGATAATAATTTATTATTGATTAACATGTTATCTTTTTTCGTATATTTGAAACATATTAATTGAATTTAAAATTTTTTTATGAAATTCACTGTGCCCAAATTTTTAAAAATATTGTTACTTTTGTTTTATTGAAATGTATTAAAATATCAATTATTTAATTTTTTTTAAACAATTATATAATATTTTTTTTATAATTTTATTATTTTGATCAATTTATACTTTTCTTCAAATATGATTAGATAAAAGTTAATAAAAGAAATTATCTTAAATTCAAAAATTATAAAATAATATAATCTTTTATTCCGCTAAAAGAAGATTCTGAAATATTCGAATGATTCGAATAATTCGATTCTAAAATCGAAAAATTGATTAGGTTATTGAGAGATAAAAATATCTTATTGAGAAATTTTACCTACGGATAATCATAAAATTTCTGGAAATATTCTTTTAAAAATTTATCTCATTTCTTGGTTCTTTTAGCGAAAATCCTGAAAGTATAGAAGCTGCAACCGAATTAGGATTGCTCTATCTTAAAATTGGTGATGTTCAACGAGCATTCCAACAATTTGGTACTGCAATCGCCCATTCTCCAAATTATGCCAAGGCAATTCTTCCAATAGCTTACATAATCCAAGTAAATGTATTTCTATATATTTTTAAATATATCGATTATGATATTACTTCGAATGTGGAATTTTTTCTATATTAAACAATTCATTTTAAGATTTTTATTTCTCTTATCTTTACTTTTTTATCTTTATTTAAGATAAAACATTTATATCTTAAATATTATATTAAAGTTTAAACAAAAAGAATTTGATGATAAAAGTTTTGTTTTATTAAGGAACTTGATAAAAGTACTTGAGAATCTTCTTTGCACATTTTTTTTGCATATTTATAAATAATAAACTTGATAGAAAATTTAGATTTCTTATAAAGGATTTTTCTATTGAAAAGAAAGATTTCCTTTCGTTTATCTATAATTTATTCGTCTTTGCACTGGCATGAATAAAGATGTGAAACGAAATTAGTTTTTACAGAGCAAACTGTTCGTGTAAAGCATAGTCAGTATTTCAATAATTTTTTAAGAATTTAATTAAAGATAAACAATGCTTTAAAATTCATTTTATTTGACAATTAATATATTCATTATACTTTTCAGAATCACCAAGAATATGATGTTGCATTGTCGAAGTATAAACAGGCAGCGCAATCAATTCCAGAATCATATGCCTTATGGAATAATGTCGGAATGTGTTTTTACGGCAAGCAGAAATTCGTTGCTGTAAGTATATTTATAATATAATAATATATAAATTTAATTTTTTGCACAATTCTTATTTTGTTACATTATATTTATATAATTTAAGTAACATAATTTAAGTTACTAAAGCTTAAAGAGCTTTAAGAAAATTCACAGCAAAAAAAAAAAATTATAATATTTAATAATATAACATTGTGACAAACTGTTTATTGTTCAAATACAATTCACAATGTTTGTAAAAATTAAAAAAGAAGAACTTTTTTCTTGAGAATATAATATTTTTTTTTATTCTTGAGAATATCTATGTACGTATATTATCGAATTTAATGACGATAATTAATTAATGATATCTGTACTAGACGGAGTTTCAGAATAATGACTAGGACGCACTTGCGACCCAAAAGAACTTAATTAAAGACTTGCAATGTAACCGTTGTAGTCGAGGCAAGAGAAAACTAGAATGAAAATAATGTACTGAATTATTTACTAATGCAGAACCTGGACTGCTATCGAGAAAATACTTAAAATATATTATGAGTATATTTAATCGAAATTCGATTGAATATCAATAATTGAGAAAGAAATATATTTTTCATTTCTTCTGAAAGAAAAGCAAAAAAAAAAAAAAGAAAAAGATTAAAACACATCATATCATCCAAAATATAAGAATTTATTTTTTTTTTTTTTAATATAACTCAACAAAAGCTTGGGAAAGAAATATTTATCACGACAAATCTTTTCCTTTCAATTATTCTGATACAGAAAGAAATTTTCTTTTTTATTTTTTATCGAAATATTACTATAAATAGAATTAATCTATAGATATTATTAAATATTTCTATCTTTCTATCCTATTATTAAATATTTCTATTCTTTATTATCTATGATAATAAAGAATTCTGCACTTAGAATCCAAGAAACATACATGAACCAGAAATTTCTTAATTTACTTCGTTATCGTAGTTGAATGGACTCAGACTTTGAAATTAAATAAATCAAACTTAGAATTTAATTTTAGCTACTTTATCGTCGATAAGAAGATGGATTTTTTTCGATGTAGAAGAATTGAAACAAATGTTTTTCTCGATTGAATAATTAATAATCGAATATTTATTCTGTCATATTTCGACCAATTTTTGATTGCTAATTCGATTTCCAATTTTGATAATTAATTTTCATTATTATATTATTATCCATATCACTTTATAATGTATTATAATTATCATTTGTTTTGTATAATATCTGCTTCGTATGATTTACTTATGCACTTGCTGTTCATTGATCGTAAAACCTTAATTGTCCAATAAATCGGTTTAACACTCTAATTATTTTCAGGCTATTAGTTGTTTGAAAAGAGCTCATTATCTCAATTCCATGGCTTTTTTACCCGTTTATAATTTGGGTATGGTTTTTTTGACTACCGGTCAACCAGCCTCGGCCGCAATTTATTTGTGCGCTGCGATTACTGCTGATCCAAAAAATTCAATGCCGTATCTTCTACTTGGAAGTAAGGTTTCTTTTATATATATAATTTCTTTGAAAAGCATTTCAACTCTCAATTAGAAAAGATATTAGGAAAAAGACCAATTCTAATTTCAATAGAAAATAGTTAAATAGGATAAAATTTCTTTGAAAAAGAAACATAGATTATTTTATTCTGTAAATATCCTATGGCAAATAGATAAATGTAGATTTGCATGATGTGTACATATCACAGAAGAACTAGAATACACTTAAAGTCAGCCTTTGATTTCAAATTGATCTTATTTAATTTAATGAGTCACCTTTTATCTTCACGTTTATCAAATATTTTCTTAATTCTTCTTCTTAAGGAAAATTCTTCTTAATGGAAAATTCTTCTTAATAGTAATAGCAAATGTCCACATTTTTATAATAAGACGACAATTATTTTTACAACGATAAAAGATATGTCGTTATTGTGTTATCGTCGAGTATAAGAAATTCTAACCATATCCATTCCTCTCCTTTTTTCTGTTGTCACTTGGCGTAACAATGAACGATATTAAAACGCTGAATCGTTTCTTATAGTCGCTTTGAAACGTCTAGACGACTTGGAAGGTGCGGAGAAAGTATTGCAAAAAGCTCATGCTCTTTCACCGCAAGATCCCTTTGTGTTAATTAATTATGCGGTAATATTGGAGGCACAGGGTAAGGAGAATATGGCGGCCGAACTTCTGTCTGCGTTGAATGATATTACGGCGGTGATTAACGTAGATGCTCAGGCAAGTATTTTATTTTCGACATTGGGGAGAATGAAAATTATTTCGCGTTAATATCTTGTCTATATTTGCTGTGGTAGATAACACAGACGGCAAAGAAATTGTCGATGAAACTTCAACAAGAAAGAGTAAACGGTAAAGAAGAGGAGGAGACGAGGATACTTAACTCGGACGAAGTTTAAAACGGATTATCTTTTTCTTGAAATCAAAGACCTTGCTCTAAAAAGCTTGTTTAATCTTTCGTGTGTATCAAATTTTTTCATTATTTTTACTTTAAATGAGGATATTATGAATTAGCTTATTATAATTCTATAAAAGAATACTCCAACAAAGATGTAAATAACAATGTATATGTAATATTGAAATAATGAAAATGGAAATAACGAAGAAATACAAATTAAAAAGAATGAAACGGGCAGAAACCAAGAAATTAAAGGTATAAAAATATGAATTTATTATTTCACTGAAAAAGTTTCAAATTTTAAAATGAATTTAAAATTTGTAAAAATGTTTTTTACAGATGATGAAAATAATTTTATCCTGTATCAAGTACATTTTTCCAATAGACTAGGTTTCTTCTTTTTTCTTTCTCATTATCTACTGAATATTTTGTCGCTTATTCTTGCTCGTTTCGCGTTCCACGTGTCAAGAGCCAGTTTCCTCATTAAGTTTTTTTGGATAACGCTACATTAACTCGTAATACTTATAATTCCAACGGTTTTAAAAATATCAAGGATTAATATTGCTTCGTTCATGATTTATTGTTTAAAGATTATTAACGATTATTGTTATTAATGATTTGTCTTTAAGAATCATTAGGTTATCTTTTGTTTGACTTATATAGATACGATATTCTTTATCAAGTTTCACCTTCACCTTTCCTTATAAGGAATTATTCTGTAACATTTTCATTGAATAATACGGAAATGAATATTAAGGAAGTAATTAAACTAAGTCCTTGTAAATTACTTATGTAAAACAATTACTTATGATAAGTTTCAGTTTTCTTTGAACGATTTTTCACGTGCGATATCGAGTTTCCATAGTTAGTGGAAGAAACGAGCGTATATCTTGATTAAAAGTTTGAACAACTTTTTTCTCCGAGTTCGTAGCTATAATTTCTGGATTCAATTTCATTGAAGTTGCATTTTTGAATCGTTTCGTTAATGTTCATTTCCATGCACATCCATACATTAAGTCGAAACGCTGAAAATTTTGGAATTTCTTTTTGATTATATTATGACATAGAACAAACAATATAATTGGAATAACTCGTTTGACTTCTTTCTGAAATGAAAGAATAAAAAAAAAGACCATTCCTTGATTTTTGAATCCGTATCGTTAGAGAGAATTTTATGAGCATTCAAGAGTATATAAAATATATTTTATATATATAAAAAATAAATTTCTATCGTATTTTATATCTTTATTTGAAAAAATGAAATCATATTTGAAATCTTTGAAGAATTTTTGCTCAAGAAATTAATTTAATATTATTAAGTTGTAATCCTTCTAAATTTAATTAAATAATGATATCCTTAATTAAATTATCCTTAATATTCAAAGTGATATATTGAAGTATTATAATGCTTTATAATTTTTTTACACATGCCTCCCATAGAAAGATATATTTCAATGGAATTTCTTAACATAAGTCCTTTAATTATTCTTCTCGTGCAAATAATTTCCAAAAGATTCTCTAAAACAAAGGATTGATTAAAGACGAGTCCAAGCATTTTTCTTTTTTCATTCTCCTCTTCTCTTCTTTTATGAGACTCATTATCATTACAATATTATCCCTCATTAACGTATCACAGAGTCATACTTCTTCACTTTATGAACGAAATACAAACGATTATTCAACAATCGGAAAATGTAAATTCTTCTGGAATTGTTCTAGAGAATCAACATATTATTACATATTATAGCGATATTACGAAATATTCTGAAGTTGATTTAAATGGAATTTCGTTCTTTAATTCAAAAATTGTTTAATATCTCTATATATAACAAGAGTTTAGAGGAAAGGGGAGCGTATGCAATTTGATCCAATATATAGAATAATTAATTGAAATCCTTTCAATGATAGATGTGTACGATGAAAGACGAACGTTGTATTTGCAAGTGCTTCTCTCATTACAAGTTGAGAGGTACAACTCAATTAGAAAAGGCGACACAGAACGAAGCAATCTCTTCGAGAGATACGTATACGAGGAAAACCGATGAATTCTCTTTCAATTTGATAAATAATGCACTGCAGTTCTGATATGTACACGAAAAATATAAGTCTAAATACAATTTAAGATATTTTAAATGCAAGGTTCAATATTTTTCTCGAAAATGAGAAATAAGTTTTGTAAGCACATAAATCATGATCAAAGTGTCGTGTTATAATATTTTTCATTTCTCGTTGAAAAAATATAACGTCTCTCAATAGATCGAATAAATAATATTTTACGTGACGAGTGAACTTGAGTATCGTTTCGAAGTGAACAAATGATGTAGAATGAAAGAATGATGTAGAGTAATGGTGTAGAATGGAAAGAATTTTAGAACTATGAATAACACGTGTACTGAACCGTAATTGAGAATTTCACATGGCAAAAGTACTTTTGTATTTCAGAATAACTGACGATTTTATTTTCATTTTCTTTTACATCATCATTTAGAAGCTGAAAAAAAGATTACATCTGTTTTCTTACATGATTTATTTTTCTATCTGGACCAATCGTGTTTAGAAAATCATATTTTAAGCAATATTTGAGAATCTCTGATGAAAAATTAAAATTAAACATAATATTGAATTTTACATAGAATATTTATAGTTTGAATGATATTAATTTTCAATATGTAAATAAATTCAAATTTTAGATGAAATTATACGAAATATAAACAAAAATAATTTTCAATCGGGGAAATATCAATTTACAAGAAATATTAAACATAATTAAAGAAATTAATAAATCCTATAGCTAAAATATTGTTAATCGAATATAAATATAAGAGAATGATTGAAAGAAACGAAGAAGAAATTATGAAAAAAAAAATAGAAAGATAACAAAATTTTTTTACGAATTGTTTCAACATCAGCCTTTTCAAAAACGAAATTTCTATTCAATTTATTTTAAAAATGTATTTGAGACGAAAAAAAAAAAGAATAAATCTCACATTTTACGTTCTAGAAAATTTCAATCATATTCGAAACATCCTTTTTGTTGATATACGGAATAAAGTGAACTGAAAAATCAGAATATATTATTTTTGAAAAAATATAATTCTTAGGAATATTAATTTTCTCGTACGTTCTCGACGAAAATTTTCACGGAAAAAGGAGAAAAATTCAGGATTGAATTCGGTTATTATCGTTATGAAAGAAAATAATTTTGATTAATAAAATTAAAATGCAAATTGTCAAATTGTCTGATGGAAGTAAAATCTCTCATGAATTTGTGAATCTTTCCGTTTTAATATAGTGATTCATTAATATTTTGAATATTCATATCAAATCCAAATTATTCTCAAATTATATTATTTTTTAAAATTACTTTTTCAAAGTAATTTTATTCAAATTTTTATTCAAAATTATTTGAATAAATAATATAAATATTTCACGCAAAGTGTTTTATGTGAAAAGTAAATATATTTGCAATTAAATTTATTTGTTCTAGTCGAAACATGGTATTTATATCATGTTAAATTATTCTTACATAATTATTATTGCATTTATAATTATTTATAATTATTTTAAATGTTATTGATTTTTCAAATAATTATATTATTAAATAATTCAATTTATTATCATTGTAATAAATCATCATCATTATTTAAATTATTTTAATTGATCATACAAAGAATATGACGTTAATTGAAATACAATTAATAATTATAAATTATAAATTATTATTTTTTAATTTAATTTATAGATAAATTTCGTCCAAATCTAATTTATATTCAGGAGGATAGATCGATAATTTACATAATTGTATACCTTCGTGCATGAATGTAATATGGTTTCCACTATGATTTTGATTATACCAGTTGCTACATTCTGAACATGACACGCGATACGTATATATGACAAGTGGGTGTAAAATAGATTTAACATTTGATTACGTACTTTCAAATGATTAATCGTTCAGGTGTCACGAATGGTCAACAAATTCGATTCTCTTTGATCCACCGATTAGAATTTTTTCTCGTTGTTTTCGATTGTAATAGGAGACCGTTTATGGTATGACAATTGTTTGATCGAACAATTTTCAGACTAGAATATAGAACATGTAGACCGATAAGAAATTTTTAGCGACACAAAGATATTTACGATATTTTCTCTTAGCTGAGATATTTTCATTATATCTCGTATTCTTTAAAGATAGACATTTCAAAGAGAAAATTCCCGATAAAGCTCGATATTAACTCGGCCAACGAGGATGTTTAAAGATTAAAAACAATAGAAAATTCATTTTATGAAAAGAAACATATCCAAGTGACTCCTATTTTATTATTTGTTTCACATGTATATAAAATCTAACAAAAGATAATATAATATATATATATATATTTTTTCAATTTTAATGGATTATTTGGATTATACTTGCTGTACTCGATATTCACCTGTTATATCACGAAATTGGAAAAGGGATACAATGAAAAAAGTAAAACGATTAATACAGAAACGTTTATTTATAATCTATAAATAATTTTTCGTTTACAAACGAGGAAAGGATAGATTTTCAGCCGGGCTCAATAGCTAAAAATCCATCGGTCCTCTGTTTCTCATACAAAAAAAATCATACGAGAAGAAACAATTATCAACTTTTCTCGATGACGTATTTACAAATTTCATATACATTTGAACGCTATATAAATAATAATGGCCTTAACATTAATATTATTGTTATACTTATTTACGAATAATTATATTACTTGCGAATATATTTGAACATCGGTGTACATCTTACTTGCATACATATATATATATATATATATGCAAGTCGTAATGATCATTCGTTGTCGAGTGTCCATCATTAACGCAACATCGTTTCCTTTCCTATCACGATGTATAATTTATTGAACGAAGCTCTCAAACGTAAAACGTTCCGATATTTGTTTTACAAATGAGCTTATATAATATCTCAGTGATATCTAAATTTACACGAAAATACGTCACGCAATAGTCTGTGTATTAATAAATTACACGAATATTATTGACACGAATAATAAAACGAAAACAAAAGAGAGAAATAAATGTTGATAAATCTCGTCGTGCATTTACTTTTCATATTTGCTCTCTATTTCGTTTCGTTCTTTAACGATTATTATATCAATATCATTAATATTAATTTTAATAATTAACATTCGCGCGATCGTTTTCCACAATATTAACAATTATGGTATTATTTTTGATGATTGACAAAAAGTAAAGAAGAAAAATATCGAAAAATAATAATTCCAATATTGTCGCTACAGAATTTTCGATTAAACTTGAACACGGATCAAGTTTACGTTTCCCTTAGTTCAATACGAGATCAAGTTTATCTTTTTTAACAGACCTGTCATTCCCAGTAATAGCTCGAAACTTAAAGGAAAGTTCAATTGATTGTGAAATTCTCTGAAGGCAGGGTTCAAACTTTCAGCATTTGTTTTTGGTAGAACAAATTCTATTATTCGTTGCCCCATTGAAGTCCAACCTCCTGTTTCACGTATTTTATTTTCTCTCCACGTCTATTAAGAACATCTCGTTTTTTGATAAAAAAAAAAACATGTATTTTTACGTGCGTTTTTATATACATATATAAATTACTAAATTTAATTGTATTTGAGAAACACGATAAAATGAAACGCGAAGAAGATTAATATAATTCGATATTTTTCGTTATTATTCTTCTTTACGCATTTGCAAAAATTACGTGATTTCGACAATATCAAGCAACAAGGTGGAGTTCGAAACGGCAAATCAATCAATTCGATCTTCCTCTTAGAGGTGAGATATTAAAAATGTACTATATTATGAACACCATTCGAGGTGAATCACATTATACGCGAGGAAAAAATTTATACTCCACTCTATTATCTACCGTGTATGATGCAGATTTACATTTCCATCTCCATCATTCTCTATTACGTAATATACGCTACCGTAACGCCATAATACCAATTTCCAAGGATAAGATTAAAAATTACCGAAGAGAGATGTAACACTACTCTAAATATCTCTAAAGACGCGTGGTCTCTAGACCTTTCAGCCTGCATCATACGTAAGTGCTTTGCACGTCCGTTTGTTGCGTGGCAGGTTGCCATTTCTTCATGATCCTCGGTTTGAACAGCTGGCCGAAAGTGGTACGGAATTGCCTGGACATGGAGCAATAGAGGATGAAATTGATGGCGCCATTTAACAAGGCGAGGATGTCCATCACCTCGCCGAAATTATGGTAGCAATTACGGAAGAAGCAATCGCCTAGAACACCTGATAGAAGGCCCAGAATACCCTGAGGTATCTCCGTGACCAGGAATAGAAGTAACACGGCGACGAGCATCTTTGTCGTCCTATCCGCTCTCCTCTCGGATTTGCTCGGCCTTTTTGGGATCAAACCGTTACCCATTACAGCGATGTTTTTGCATTGGTTGTAACTCTTCAAAGCCTGCTTCCTCCCTTTCGCTCTGGAACATGATTCCACTCGTTAATTAATACCTTTTTTAATCTTTACTAATATTATTTTTTTTTTTTTTTTTTTAGATATTTCTCGAAGACAAAGATGCTGTTTTGTGTAATTAATCGATGGAACGTCGAATTGAGATATTTTTTTTTAAATGGTTTTTACACGTACACGATGACAACGCAGTTTCTTCCATGTGGGAGGAATTAAGGAGGGTAGAAGAGGTATAAGTATCAACGAATTTTAACTTGTTATAATAAATAATAACGTGTAATTGTTAGTTTCAGTCTGATCTGTAAAAATATACCTGTAAAGAGCTTTTATCAACCAGCAGCTAATAACGGTGAGAATGACGCAGGGTAAAAGTTTTACGACCACCCCTAGTATCCAGAAATTTAATTGGTAGAAGAAGTCCTTGTGCTGGGAGTAGTCGGCATCGACTATGTACGCGATTTCCAGGATGCCATTTTCGTTTACAGTTTGTTTTCTTATCTGAGAATTAGAAATAGAAAAAAAAATGAATTTTGATTTCAGTATCTAGAAAGAAAATCTAATTATCTTCAATTGGATTAATCTTTTGAAATAAATGGTTATTCATTGTTAATGAATTATTTCAAATAAATTTTTAAATAAATTACTTACTCCAAATACGAGATAACTAGGAGCACAGGCAATAAATGGCGCTAAAAAGCTGCTCCATAGAGCTATTTTGCATCGAGCTGCGGTACACCAGGTATTGTACTGTGGAAATCTGTGATAACAAAAAAGAACATTGGATTTTCTATCGTAAATTTAAACAGAATTTTTCTTTTATTTTTCCAATCATTTATTAATGATATTTCATTTTCAACGCAAATTCATCAAACTGTTCGATACGTCAAATAATATTTTTGTGTTCAATTGAATTTTCAGCCCTTTTCCCAGAGGAATGTTTTTCAAAATTTCGAATTTGCCAAAGACAGGATATCAATTCATTTCAAATTCATTAATTTTAAAAAGTTAAGCAAAAACACATACGTGTGCAAGCAAAATTAAAAGGAAATCGATTGAGCAGTAGATTTCATTTTTATTCTTTGTCAAGCAAAAAAAATAAAAACTTGAAATCGTTGCCTTTTGACACATTTCGATCATGATTTTTGTTCAAATTTTCTCGAGATCGTAATACTTAAAGAGTTAAGAGTTTCTATCGATTCCCATCTAATTCACCTTTATTGAAAAGCTTTACATTTCATTATTCGCTCGTAGATTCGTTTATAGTGAAGTAGAGAGTTCAAATGTTCCTTTGATGTCTTAAATCGTCATTCAATCTATATACAATTGAGATAATTAATCAAGGATTTAGTCGTATCAGATATAATCGTATTGCTCTGATCTTTCAGATTAACATGTGAAATTCCATGTGTTTACTATTTCCAATTTTTGATTCTTTTTCCTCATTTATGTAAATATAATGAAATGATTTAATCATCTTCTATATATCCCATATATGCATACATTAGTTGGAAACTTAGATTATTTTTATCGTAGCTTTGTAACATTTTGTTCGTATTCATGTTCATTTTGTTAAAAAAGAATTAAACAATATGCATCATAATCATTGCGCAATCTCTAATTTATTTGGTTTTTTTTGAAAATACATCTTTTTATTTTTATTCTACTTATTTAGAGAATATTCGTTAGTAGAAAGGATTTAATCGACGTGATACAGAAATTCACATAAACGAGAATTTGCTTATCATCTCAGAAATATCAGAGCTCGAGCGTAATTCGATCTTTGAAATGTAGGAAAAAAAAAAAAAAAAAAATCAACGAATGTAATACGTGTTTCGAGATGAAACTGGAATCATATTTGAAATTATAGTTTAAATTTAAAAGAAATATCACATTTCTACTCGTTCGTTTTTCTAAAAACACCAATTTTAAACTTCATGGAGATGTTATTTTAGAACAATATAAAGGAAATTAATGAAACAGATGTCTTTTGTGAATTGAATTCCATCCTATTGAAGTGAAAAGACATAAAACGACCGTGAAATATGGTTCTCGAGATACATATAACTGATACAATTTAATCGAACGAGTGAAATATGATGATTCATAATTTCTTTCACGTCTTTCACTCTCTGATCACTTCTTTGATTTTATACAATATAATTAATCCTTTTAAGATCCATTTTCATTTCAAGAAATTATTTATTTCGAATCTCTATATTGAATAATTGAAATGTGTAAAAAATCTGTCGCGTATCATTAATTCATATTTTCCATCAAAAAGATTTTTATTTTTTTAAATGTATTTCTGGAGAATCGACGTGTTTCGATCTTTTTTTTTTTTTTTTTTTCTTTTGATTGAATCATCCATTGTTTTTTACTGTGCTTTGTTTTTACATCGTTCCATTTTAAAAAGACGAATGTATTTGAAGTTAAAACTCTCGAGTGTTGTTAAGAACATACTATTTTATTTCTAAAATACTATGAAAAGAATTTACAATTTCTTCGTATTAATTCTCACATTTCATCTTACGTTTGTTATACAGATTCAAAAGTTTCGAAAAACTTTTGTTCAAATCGAATTGGTCTTCTAACTTATACACGAATTGTCCATAGCAAGCACACTTTGTGAATACTATCCACGAGTTTCAAAAGTCCATATTATTAAATTTCGAAGCAAATGATGGAACGGAATATCGATTTTTCTTAAATTGTTAAAGAGTATTTAAAAATTCTTTAAAGGTTCGAAAATTAAAAAGAAAAAAGTGAAATTATGATATTATGAACGTAACAAAATTAATATTGACATTTTAACATTTTAATCTAACGTAAATAAGAAAATTAGCAGAGAGCTGGATGTAAAAGCTACAACTGTGAAGAATGAAAAATAATTTCAAACTTTTTGGACGATAATATATACTTCTGTCCAAAATTATTAATATTTTTCAAGAATTAAAAAAAAAAAAAACAATCACAGTAGGATACAGATTGAAAACTTTTCAAATATAATTTTCAAATATAAAACTTTTCAAATATAAAATTAAAGACAATTAAAACTACTTATAGCATTTTAAATTTGGATAAATAACGAAATTAACAAAGAGTAGTGAATATATAATTATAAAAGTGATTTCAAACTTTTAACCAGTAATTTTTGCAATAGCAAAACTTTATAATAGAGATGTATTCAACGTTATTTGATTTATTTGATTTCGTATAAAGAATAATAATTAGAAACAATTTTGCATATTATTTTTACCCCAGATTATTTTATCTTCTATTTTTTTATATTTTAATCAGCTGTGGTAGTTCATAATTTAAAATATCACACGTGTGATATCAAAAATACTTTGAGGTTCAAACGAAGTAACAAAGAGGAGGAAAGAGAGTTCATAGTTCACGAACAATATGCTAATATTTTTATATCGACACTTTCATAATTGAAACTCCATCTCATATAAATTTACTGATCTTCGTTTAATATTAATGTATACATCTAGAAATTCAAGAATATTTCAGAATCTTACAGTTTTCCTTCCAAGGCAACTTGGAATCTATCTCTCTTGAGTATACACGTCTACGGAAATTTTATTTTATTTTCCTCTTGCTCCTATCTATATTTTATATTCTTCTCCATATTTTTTCCTTATTATTATCGTTATATATTTTCTTTATCCTTGATATTTTATTACGTCTTAAATTTCTTTTTTTTAATCCTCTTTTTTAATTATTAAGATTTTTTATTTATTAAATTTTTATTTCTTAACTCACATATTGTTTTCTCTTTTATAAAAGGTAAAACAGAATTGGTAGAGAATAGAATTATTTTTATAAATTTATCCAAGTATCAATTTCATCACGATAATACGTATCTCAAAAGGATCGATAGAAAATTTTATGATATGATATATACGGATTATATATATCTTCACATTGATCCATCGATAGATCGCGCCATTCGTGGAAATTGAAAAGTAGTTTTAAAACGTTTTTAGAACGTTCAGATATATAGATAGTCGATAGAAACGATTTTAGATAAAATGGCCATAAATTGACCATATATAATAGATAAATTTATTGATTTCAAATTTTATCCCGTTATCGCGATATACATTATCCAGTTTTTTATCATTTTTCTTGATATGATGAATTGATAATTAAATTTTTCCAATATTTATTGGAACAAATATAAACAGTTTGGCTTGATTCATCCAGAATGAAAACACACGTTGTGCACACGTTGTGTTTTTGTGCTATTATTTTAATTTAGAATTTCATTATATCGTGTGAGCTATTATATATATATATATATATATTAAGTTTTTCGAAGCAAAAATGAAATCACTATTTCGTTTGTGACGTTTGTATAAATGTTTGTATGAATGTTTGTTGAACGTATACATTTTGTGTAACAAATTTCATTCTTTTTATCCTTTTCTTACCAGATAAAAAAACCAACATTTTGAAATCATTATAAAGGAACTATTTATTTGTATTTATTATACAAAATTTTAATAAACTCGTCCGATATTTAATTTTTGATTTAAGAAAAGAGGCTTTGAATGATCGATTATCTGATATTTGACTATTTTAATTAAAAAGCAGTCTTTCAATACTTAATTGAGAACAAATAAAAAGAGAATTTTTTCGAAAAATGAATGGGAAAAATTTCTAAAAAGTTAATTTTAATAATATTTTACTTACAATTATCATGATAACGTGATAAAACTAGTTTGTAATGTTATACATTTCTTTCATATCAGTATATGTTTGACTATAAAATTTATTTTCTACGCGCGTGGAATAAATATGGATTTTTATATTGACATAGTTCATCGATTTATATGTGTATAAATTCGAATAAATAATAATAAAGATATTTTAAATTAAGAAAGAAATGTTTGGACAGCGGAATTGAAATTTTATCTAATTTTGTCTATTTCTCCTGTAGTAGTAATTAAGTAAATATCAGCACGATATTACTTAATTTATTATTTCAAATATTTACACGTTTGAGGAATACACAGGTATGAAAATTAAAAAATTAAATCGTAAAAACTTTAAATATCGAGTAAAAAGAAATTCGAATAAAAGAAACGAAGATCGCATAAAATGTTGTAAAAATATTGTAAAAAGAATGGATACTGTGATCTGAAGTGATAAAAAACAGAAAAAATTCTGCAAATCAAGTCTTGTTTTTTTCTTTCATGTTTCAGCCATTTGACTACGTATGTATCATCGATTGTTACGTTTTCTTTGTTTAAAAATACACTTGTTCCAAAAAAAATCATTCGTTCCAATTTTGCAAAAGAACATATCGAAATCATTATAACATTATCGTTTATTAATTGGATTATAATTAAAAATTTATATCTCCTTAATATCGAAAAACAAATTATGTCACGAAGATTAATATTCATTGTACAGAATATAATTACAAATTAAATGCATGATATAAAAAAAAACAATATATTTAATTTATAAATATAAATACAATTTAAAATAATTCAAAGTTAAATTAAAAAAGATAATTTTTAATTTTGTAATATTTATAAATATTTAATAAACGTTAGTATCGATTTTTTTTCTTTTCTTTTTTTTTTTTTTTTTACGTAAAAATAATTATTTTTTTTTTTATATTAAAATCATTTAAAATTTAAATATTCCCAATAATGCCACTCAGGCAAAACGATATAATTAAATATAAATAATAAAGGATCGTTGATCACACATACACCAAGAAATCAAATGTTTCCGTAA